CGGCGAGACACCGGGAGGGGCTAACGCTTCGGTTTAACGTATGAAACACATACAGCGAGAGCAAAACGCGTACAGGCACAACGCGGGACTCGCGTAAAACGCCAGCACCACCCGCCCGGCCGGGCATTGCGGGGCGGGCACAGACCGCCCTCCAGCAGGGCTGCGGGTCTGTCTGCCCGGGGATATCCGGCCCTGCCGAGGAGATGCCCACCGGCAGTGCCAGGAACGGCCACCAACCAGTGGGTACAGTTCTGTTACAGTTTCTTCATCCTTACCGACTTAACCAAACCGTACGAGCGCCTCATTTCCATGGCACGTGCCCGGAATGTCGTGTCAGGTACGGGGTGGTGGTGTCCGTGACCGGGAGATCTGTTACCTGAGGACGCAGGCACAGTACTGCTGCTTTGGGTCAGTGAAACGTTGGAGATCAAGCGTTAAGGCAGATGCACTTCAGAGATGTGGGAGAAAGGGAAGGTACGATGAAGGAGAGGGAAGTGCACAGGGAGAACAGCAAGGTTACTGGAGGCAGGAAAAGAGAAAAGCTGCTTCCAGAAAAACTAGAGCCAAAAGCTGGCTCTGGTAAGGGCAATGGCATATAACATGTTTCCTCTGAGAAAGCCAAGGCAAATTTTCATCCCTGTTCTCAGCTTGGATTCCACTGAAATTCACATTCAAAGCAGACCAAGCCTTTTCTCTAGCTTTTCTACAGCTTGTAATTCTGTACTACCCACAACAGGAAGCTGAGACCTCTGATCAAGGTCAGAGGGTGTTAAAAGGAATCAGCTCTCATGTTCTCACCCACTATCATCCTCCAAAAGACCTAACAGCTTATTCTCTGAACAGCTTATTCTCTGATGTTCTTTGTTCTCTTTCAAAGCCATTAAAAAAAAAAAAAGCAAACCTGAAACACCAGCATCTTCATCCGTAAAGTAAGCTAACTCACATCACAGCTTACTGGATGTTCCAGATGGTTTGCCTGTGAGGTGTTTGTGGAAGAAAGCTTGGATCTGCCGCCAAGCATCTACCTGTGCCTCGCAGTGTGCCTTGGGCTCCCCTCCCCACACCACAGGCCTGCCGATGAGCAGGTGCATCGAGGACCCACACATTGGGAAGAAGGGGGGTTCAATGTAGTGCCCCGCTCTGGGATAACAGAATATCACAGGCTTTTCCTTCCCATGAGCTTGCAAACGTTTGCTCCCCTCAACCGCAAAGAATTCGCTTTTCCAGTTGCGATCGTCCTGGCCAACAATGAAGAGGAAGCGACACTCGGCCCTCTCCAGAGGGATGAGGCTTTGGCGGCCGGGCTCCTCCAGCGGGTTGTCCAGCACGTCCACGATATCGGCGATCCCGGACTCGCTGACCCTGACGCGTTTCGCATCGAGACCGAGGGGCGGAATGGTGACGTCCTTGTAGCGCAGCACTGCACCCACATTGGCCACCGAGCCGTTGATAAGGGCGGTGGCCGTGATGCCCTTCAGGAAGGAAGCCATGGAGACGCACAGGTCACCCCCCTTCGAGATGCCAAGCAACCCAATGCCCGGACCTTTAACCTGGAGGGGAGAGGATAGGAGAGGAGAGGAGAGGAGAGACCACAAGCCATGAACCACGGCACACCACTTTCAAACGTTCCCATGTTTGTAGTAGCGTCCATCCTGAATCTGGACCTAGATTCAGATGTGCAGGGCCCACATCTGAGGGAGCCTCGAGGTGCTGTTCTGTGATTATTTACCATCATAAGCCCTGCTGAGGTCGCAGCAGCATCCTAACAAAGCTGCAAGGCTCAGTGCCGCAGCATACGCAGAGTGTACAGCTGTGCTTGCAAAAAGCATGAAGATGTGCAGCCTCAGATTAACCCTGCTTATAAGGCAGTTCAGGGATGAGGGAAGGGGCAGGAGAGACCTCTTCTCCAGATGCTTGTTTTCAGTGCAAAGCAAAGTCAGCAGGGACTATGACACTGTCATCAGTTATGATAACATAGTTCTTATCATCAACCACTGTCTTCAATTCCCCTGTTGAGAAGCCACCACGTGGTAGAAAACTCCACATCAGATGCTCTCCCGTTTTGCTGGTGTGCTTGGTGTCCAACTCACAGTGAAAAGGAAGTATTCTGAAGTAGCTTACTCATTAAAATGTAACCACTTCTCTAAATGACTTGTACAGTTCTCAGGAGTCAACCTAGAACAGGTTACCTTCGTTTTTATTTAGACAGGCAACTTAACTAGAGAGGAAAGCTGAATGATCTTACAGGGTGCTGAAGTCCTCTAAGGCTATTGGAAGAAGGTTAGCTAGTATCACAACTGCTCAATATCCAAAGACCCTCAGAGGTAAAAAGCCTCTGAGACAGCATCAAAACGTACTACCTCTAGTGGTGAGGTAGGTTTTGTAACTTACCACCAGAGTAATAGGCTCCACACCCACTGACTTTGAAATGTGGGAAGGGAGAAATTAAAACATATTGTTAACGTGTTAACCTGGCCTATCAGTGGAGGAGTTAGTGGGAGGCTATGGTACTGCTCTCAGGGGACAAAAGGCAGGGGGAAGCAATAGTCAGAGGGTGTGGGCAGAGGGGTGGCACAAGCACTTAGCATTAGGGTGACTGAAAAGCAACCAAGACCTTTAACAACTACTCATCGTTCTGAGGTGAGGGAAGGTGTTTGGGAGTTCTCTACAGAAACCAAGTGTTGCCTTGTAGCATTCTAGTTAGTGTCAGGCACAGCCACTTGGAAGGAGATGCAAAACTAAGCAGGGCTCTCTTCCAAATGGTGTCAATTTAGAAGGATGCCCAAGTTCACAACTAGCTACTAAAAACTCACACTCACCAAATACCAACATTTGGAGTGACTTTAACAGCCTATAGAATACACAGCAACAAATGTGTCCTGTCTCTTCCTTGATGTCACGTGCTCCACAGCTGAAAAGGGCATTTAGTGCTGAAGGACACTTTATAGAGCTTAAACCTAAAAGCCCTGCTGGAAGTCCAGTAAGCCTCCAGGCAACCAGCACCCTAGTTATGACAACAGGTTGAATGGAGCAGAAATTACCATTATGGGACCTATGTGTCTCCTGGCCAGTTCAGAAGGAAGAACTGGAATAGCCAGCTAGAGAAGCCTTGTAATTGGAGTTAAAAGATGTAAAACAAACTAATTGCAGCCCACTTGAACTGAGATGGTATTTTAAGCAGAGCAGCTCTGGCCCATCTGCAGTCTGACAGGACCTGACTAACCAGAGTTCCCTCTAGTGAGTGTCAATAAACAAACCAACCTGGGAGTGTTGTAACATATAGTTTACAGCTTCTTCAAAATATTCCAGGTGGAATTCCTTCATCTCTTTGGGGAGATCTTCATAGCCATAGTAAGCCAGAGCCATCACAGCAAAGCCATAGTTGGCCAGCAGGCATGCTCTGTATTCAGGGAGTCCTCCTCCAGTTCCATACAAGTCAATAATTCCCGGAAAGGGGCCATCTCCTGCAAGAGACCACATAACAGGACACATTAACCTGAAATTTTTAATGTATATTCCAAACTCACAGTCCTGGGAATGTGTCTTTTTAATAAAGAAAAAAACTAAACCATAGAGCAGCAGAATGGTACTAAGGGCCCTCAATCACTGAGCCAATTTTCAGTCCATGTCAACATTGCTTCAAGATTAAACAGGACAGCATAAAATAGCAGGTCTGCTAATGTTTTGGATAACATCAGGGAGCGCATGGCTGGAAAGGGAGGGATCCCTCAACCATCACAACTAGTTCTCTGTATCATGTAAATTCATGGGAAAGGTATCAAGTTCTGCTTCAGTAACACCCAGGAGGCTTCTCCCCAGTGCACTTCTCAGAAAACTGATCCAAAAAAAATCTCATCTTCTGTGGGTTCCATCTTCTCAGTGTCAGTATAAATGTACTATAGCCATTTATTCTGGGAGAAAGAGAAGAAAGTACTTGCAACCAGCTCTGACAACCTGCTGAGGGATGTCCACCAGGGGACAAAGACTGACATCCAGAGTTGAGAGGGAGTGCTGCAAACTAGTAACAACGTATGGAAAGGAGGAGGCCAGGAGGGAGAATCCCATTACTGCTCAGAAGGGAGGGTGAGGCTTCCCTCAGGTGTCTGCAGACTAACATGAACTTGGGCAACAAACCAGAAGACCTGGAAATTCACCTCCAGCCAGGCTACAATGCACTCAGAGCCTGGGACACTGGCTGGAACAGCGTGTATGATTTTGGCACTGTCAGGGACAGACAGGGAAGAAAGGGTAGAGTGGAAGGCACAAGATACATAGAGGAGCTCCTTGAGTACATGGAGTTTCTGAGACGTATTTGGTGAAAGCCTCTGGATCACAGGGAAGGAAAGGTGGTATGTGGTGGTGGTGCAGCTGCTACAGAACACTCCACCAAGAGTAGGCAAGAAATGAAGCTTCCTACAGACAATTAGCAGAAGTCTGGACAGCTACTGGAAGGACAACACAGCATTTGCCAGGCAACCTGAAAACCTTGCAGATCCTCTCAGTGATTATTTTCTGACAAAAATAGTGTAAGGGCAAACCTGTCTAATCATAGACTCACAGAATGGGTTGGGTTGGAAGGGACCTTAACTTGGTCTTCTGCCCACAAAAGGGGAAGAACTGTGGACAACTGGGGCAGCAAAAGGCAGCCTGTGCTCAGCAACTATGGCATTACTAAGGTCAGGTGTAGAGGCTGAGAAGGGAAGGGAAGCAGCAGGCTTGGGGCTCCAGACTTTTGGAGAGCAACATTCAGCTTAAGCACGTAACTACTGGCTGAACTTCCTGGAAAACAGCCAGGTAGAGGAAAGGTACCACCTGACTGACACCTCCCGCAGCATTTGTGAACAAAAAGGGTACAGTGATCAATGCCTTTGTGTCCAACACCAGTCAATAAACCGAACTGGGCTGCGTTGTAGCCCATGTAGCTGCGCTGGGTGAGGAGTGTGCCCAGCAGAGGAAACCTGGTCAGGCGATCCGGCCACTCCCTGAAGAGTGCCCGGCGGCAGC